TGAGTTTTTTTGTGATTTTTTTGGGGGGGGGTGTTTGAGTTTTTTTGCGGGGTTTTTGGGGGTTTTTTAGGCTGTTTTTCGAGGGTTTTATTTGGGGGATTTTTTGGGAGATTTTTTTGGGGGGTTATTCTTGGGTTTTTCTGGGGGGGTTTTTGGGTCACTCACGAGTCCCGGCGGCGCCGCTGGTGCTCGAAGACGAGGAGGCCGCGGGCGTTGACGCTGCAGAGCAGCTCCCGGCCCCGCAGCAGGTCCAGGCGGAACGGGCGCTCTGTCACCAGCAGCCGGTGTCCCCCGGGGCCCAGCGACAGCTCCAGGGTGGCCTCGTCACGGGCTGTCACCTCCAGCCTGGGGACAGCGCAGTTCGGGGGGGTTGGGAGCGCCCCAGAGCGCCGGGACCCCCACCCCGCCTGCGCCGGGGGACAGCGGCCGACGGGGGTGGCTGTGACACCCCAGTGTCCCCTGTCCCCTCTTGGGGTGGCTGTGACCCCCCAGTGTCCCCTGTCCTCTCTTGGGGTGGCTGTGACACTCCTGTGTCCCCTGTCCTCTCTTGGGGTGGCTGTGACACCCCAATGTCCCCTGTCCCCTCTTGGGGTGGCTGTGACACCCCAATGTCCCCTGTCCTCTCTTGGGGTGGCTGTGACACCCCAGTGTCCCCTGTCCCCTCTTGGGGTGGCTGTGACACTCCTGTGTCCCCTGTCGTCTCTTGGAGGTGGCTGTGACACTCCTGTGTCCCCTGTCCTCTCTTGGAGGTGGCTGTGACACTCCTGTGTCTCCTGTCCTCTCTTGGGGTGGCTGTGACACTCCTGTGTCCCCTGTCCTCTCTTGGGGTGGCTGTGACACTCCTGTGTCTCCTGTCCCCTCTTGGGGTGGCTGTGACACTCCTGTGTCCCCTGTCCCCTCTTGGGGTGGCTGTGACCCCCCAGTGTCCCCTGTCCTCTCTTGGGGTGGCTGTGACACTCCTGTGTCCCCTGTCCCCTCTTGGGGTGGCTGTGACACTCCTGTGTCTCCTGTCCCCTCTTGGGGTGGCTGTGACACTCCTGTGTCCCCTGTCCCCTCTTGGGGTGGCTGTGACACTCCTGTGTCCCCTGTCCCCTCTTGGGGTGGCTGTGACACCCCTGTGTCCCCTGTCCCCTCTTGGGGTGGCTGTGACACCCCAATGTCCCCAATGTCCCCTCACCTCTCGGCAGGTGGCTGTGACACCCCAATGTCCCCTGTCCCCTCTTGGGGTGGCTGTGACACCCCAGTGTCCCCAGTGTCCCCTCACCTCTCGGCAGGTGGCTGTGACACCCCAGTGTCCCCAGTGTCCCCTCTCCTCTCGGCAGGTGGCTGTGACACCCCAGTGTCCCCAGTGTCCCCTCACCTCTCGGCAGGTGGCTGTGACACCCCAGTGTCCCCAGTGTCCCCTCACCTCTCGGCAGGTGGCTCTCCCAGCAGCACGTCGGGCACCTGGAAGCGGGGCCGGAGCGGGGCGAGCTCCTGGATGCGCAGACGCGTCACGTTCCCGGTGAGACCCCACACCTCCAGCAGCAGCGGCACCTGCGGGGGGACAGCGTCACCTGGGGCACGGGGACATGGGGGCAGCGTCACCTGGGGCACGGGGACAGCGTCACCTGGGGCACGGGGACATGGGGACAGCGTCACCTGGGACATGGGGACCCCTGGGGACAGGGGGACAGCGTCACCTGGGACATGGGGACATGGGGACAGCGTCACCTGGGGCACGGGAACACACGGGGACAGGGGGACAGCGTCACCTGGGGCACGGGGACACCTGGGGACAGCGTCACCTGGGGCACGGGGACATGGGGACAGCGTCACCTGGGGCACGGGGACACCTGGGGACAGGGGGACAGCGTCACCTGGGGCACGGGGACATGGGGACAGCATCACCTGGGACACGGGGACACCTGGGGACAGGGGGACAGCGTCACCTGGGGCCTGAGGACATGGGGACAGCGTCACCTGGGATATGGGGACACACAGACAGGGTCACCTGGGAGCCCCCACACCTCCAGCAGTGGTGGCACCCGCACGGGGGGGACAGGGACAAGGCCAGCTGGGCACGGGGACACACAGACAGTGTCACCCCAGACACCTGGGACACCTGGACACGGTCACCTGGACAGCCCCAGGGTCACCCACACCTGGACAGAGTCACCTGGGGGCCTCATTTGGGGTGACGGGAGGGACATGGGGTCACCTGGGGGTCACCCCCACCTGCAGAGGTTGGGGACACAGGAGCAGGGGTCAGCCCTGGGGTCACACACACCTGGGACAGGTGGGACAGGGGCGTAGCCAAAGTGTCACCAAACCTTGGCCAAGTAGGGACAGCGGCCAGGTGGCACCAGGACACCTGGGACACGTGGTCAGGGACACAGTGACCTCACTATAACCTGGGTGACCTCAGTGACCAGCTGGACACAGTGACCCTGTGACCCCTCCAGGATGGACACAGTGACCCTGTGACCCTCACCTGGGTGACCAGCTGGACACAGTGACCCTGTGACCCCTCCTGAGTGACCAGCTGGACACAGTGACCCTGTGACCCCTCCTGAGTGACCAGCTGGACACAGTGACCCTGTGACCCCTCCTGAGTGACCAGCTGGACACAGTGACCCTGTGACCCTCACCTGGGTGACCAGCTGGACACAGTGACCCTGTGACCCTCACCTGGGTGACCAGCTGGACACAGTGACCCTGTGACCCTCACCTGGGTGACCTCGTTGACCAGCTGGATCTTGGCCACATCGGGGCCGAGCTCCAGCGACTCCAGCAGTGCCCGGTACGGGGAATTCCCGGGCTGGATCCGCCGCTGCCGCCTGCGGGGGGGGGACAGGGGGGGCCACGGGCCCTGAGTGACCCCCCCGGGCCGCGCCGCCCCCTCCCCAGCCGCGCCCCCCGCTCCCCACACCTGCAGAAGCCGCTCTGCTCACACGTCTTGAAGTTGCTGCGGTCGACGGCGAGCGCGGCCCCAAGGCACAGGGTCACCCACAGCGGCCACCTGGGGGGCACGGGGGGGTCAGAGACCCCAAAACACCCGGAGACCCCCCCCAAAAC